ACATCGATTCGCGGTGGAAGGAAACAAAGTACGTATTTGTTAGCTATACGCTTGATGCCATACTTTCAGATGATAATGGCCGTGGACACCTCTTTGCACACATGCATAAGCATAAACAAAAACAAAGGAGTGAAAAGGTTCTCTGTGTTTGCCAGGGGCTTACATTATTTGAGCTGCACGATCCTCTCAGGGGAAATCTGATACAGCCTGTAGGGGAATCACTTCCCTGCTTTTTTTCCACAATTCAGCAGAGGCGCATGGGGCAAGCATTGCTCCCTCCACCCCGCTGGCTCCCCTTTCTCCCCCCATCGCCCACAGAAAGAGAGCCCCTCGTATCAATCCCCTCATTATCCAAACCCACTGCCTGCTGAAGACAATGAGAAGGTCATCAGATGGAGCCAGAGACTCATGCACAGGGGACAAACGCTCAACAGTGGAGCTCGTCCTGGGATGCGGAGCGTTCTGTGTGTTTGCATGCAAGCGGATGGGCACGTGATGACAGGTTTGCTGATGGGCGAGTGGAGCGCTGCAGCTCTGTAGGTTGCAAGCCATTGCACAGAATAAATGACTGACTGTCACTGCTATGAAGGAGCTGGATTGTGCCTTGCAGAGAATTATATGTTTATAAAGAGTTTAGAGCTCACTTTAAATTAAGTGCACTGCAAAAAGTGCTAACCTAAAAACGGTAACATCTAAATCATCTGGTTTTATAAAGTTTAACATCAATGAACGAACCTATATACGTGAATTTGTACCAACTGATTTTTATATGTTTGATCAGATAAAAATAGAGTTAACAATTGCAGTTGTCTCTTTTTAAAGTGTCTTTAACTACTATGTATTAACATTTAAATTAATAAATAGATACAATGCTCTCTCTCTCTCTATGCAATACAGAGCGTTATCACACAGGTACTCGTGATATTGCATTTATACACCAGTTCGACGGCACAGATATGTAAATAAATAAGAAGCAACCACGGCGTGTCTTTAAAAACATTTTGTATGCAGAACTACTTCCTTCCGCCACGGACTCAAATCTCAGTTTGACAGTTTAACAGCTGAGCTCAAGATCCGTTACTAATTCGAGAACGTTACTTTAGAACTAGTAACGAAGGAATGTTTAGTAGCTCCATTGAAAGCTTATTGTATCACTGTATTATAAAACGGTTAGTTCCAGTCCTCGATTCTGATTGGTCACGATAAAACACGGCTATGACCGTTTCACCCAACGGTTCTGTGTATCACTGCGCAACACCCTTAGCAACATAAACAATCAATATATATTATGTATTTCAGCAAAATTAGCTGTTTATTATGTACTTAAGTATGAGTGACCCCTGCTGGCGTTTTGCTGCACCTTCAACTATGACTTATTCACAATAAAGCACGGCTTCTCGTACCTTACTGCTTACTGATGCAGCATTCATTCTTCAGCTCAATCTCATATTCACAATAAAACATCAGTCTGAATGTCCGCTGAGGAAAGCGATATCTTTGTCATACTATCTTTCATCTGTTCAGGGTGTTTTCCGATGACAGCGCTGCTCACTGCATCTGTTAACTGCATCTTACAAGCTATTGTTGAAAGTGAAAAGAGCTTGCTTGTTTACAACCCTGTTTCAGTCTCTTTCAATATAAAAGTCTTTGCTAACTAAAATCACTAAAGTCTCAACTAACTAAAATGACCATCACACACACATACACACGGTTTCCTAAATACTATAATTAAATACTACTATTATTTATATAAAATATTACTTATTGAATAGTAATAATAAACCACAATAGCAATTATAAAAGTTGCTAAGCAATTCAGTCAAAAGTACAACGGCAGCGCTCTGATATATAGCATTAAACACACCTCATATAAAGTGGGACCTTTTATTATTATTGTTATTATTGTCCTATTCCTGTTTCTAATCATAATTGCCTGTTTTGGTGCTAACACTTGGTTTATGCACATCCAAATTATTCTCGTACCTAATTACTCCAAACTTTTACAGAACATACATGCTTACTGTAACTCGGTTACATTTCAGGATAAAACAATAGACGTGGGAAGTAGGATGGGATAAAATTCTGTTTCCCTTTTTAAAACCAATATCCTGGGGCACATAAACTGTCAGAATCAGGTTTAACGCATCTCCATTATCTCAACTGGATTTGCACACCCACATCTGCATCCGCTGGGAAATGATGTGTTGTGCTCCTCTTTAAAATGTCTCTCATTTCCATTCCAAAGTGACACTGCCAGATTTGCAGCCAGCATGTCTACAAAGCGAGCGTCTTGTATGTTTTTAGAGCGTTGTAAAGCGCGACGCCTTTTTCTTCCCCTCTTTATCAAAGGTGAACGCTCAGCAGATGACAGTCCTCCTACCTCGGATTGCAGGCGGAGAAGCGGGGCTTTCCCAATCCTCTGTGGCGAGATCCGTGGATGATCTGCCTACTCAGCCCACCGAGGGATTGTTGATGCTTCCTGATTTCATGTGCTGCACGGTGTGAACACATCTCTGTTTCTCAGTGACATGGAGAAGGAGGAACAGATTAGTTAAATGGAATCATTTGATTTTACATCACATCAGAAATACTGGGCGAACAGCAAAGACAACAGACCGTATCAGCACTATGAAATAGTGTTCTAGTATGCAATAAAACTCCTGCTATTAGGACATTACAACAATACTGAGATTTCACAACCTTATAAAGTCTTCTGACCTTCTTACTAAAAACACCCAGTGAACAACAAAAGAAAGAAGGTTTCGAACCGAAATACTCAAATCATGCAGAGATGGGGACACTTTTGCCATTTAGACATTTACAATACAATAATATTATAAGTCTGTAATATGCAATTGAAAATGAAATGTTATATTAACAACAGGATTTTAAAACTGTTTTATTTGCATTAACTGAACAAAAGCCACAAACCGCTGAACATATGCAAGCTGTCTGACAAAGCTGGTGACTTTAAGATATGAAATGATTTAAATGTGTTGTACAGTCTAAATTAGCATCACTCAAGGATCTTCCATTCTTATCATTTATAGTTATTATTTTTATTCTCTGTGTTCCTTGCTGCAGATTTAAATCAAATAGATAACTGGAAAAAATACTCATTTATTTCCCACTCGAGCAGCGTTTGCGTGGTTGTCTGTCGATCTGAACTTTTCACAGGCCTTGAGGGCTGTAAATGGAGCGTGTTACGTTTGTGACGTTTGGCCGCTGTTGGAGGCTGTTGAACGGAAACTGATATTAGTGCCAGAGAGTGCATGTAAAATCACATTCGGAACGGATGACTGGTAACTATCATGAGTAAACAAAGGGCTTTGTTCAGCAAGAAAGAAAAAGTTGATTCAAAAGTGCCATGTGTCTGCACTCCGGAGAGGGGCAGATGTTGTAAATTACCAGCCAGTCTACTGCCTCTGAAATCACAGCTCAAATGAGCATCCTAATGAGAGGCACTGTTTGCGGGTCAAAGAAAAGCCTAATCACGCTAAGTCAATTGACTTCTTCTGGAGCAAGAGAGCATGCGAGCTCCAAAGCAGATGACCTGCTGTCTGCTCCTGCAACCTCCTTTATATCTGTCTAATCTTGTTTCTGTGGTTTTTGACTGTGATATGACTCTAGCCGGCGAGGACAGGCACAGTTGTTTATGCTCCATTATACAAGCATTATGCAACCGAGAAAACAATGTCACATGCCTTAATAAAATCAGAATGTTACAAGAGTACAATCTATATGATAACTGATATTGTGTTGAATGAGATAAACAACCCTGGGATGCTCTTTAGGAGCGTTTATTTAAATAGGTACATTAAGAATTAAGCATTTGACTTGAAAGCAGCCTGCACTAACTGAGGAATATGAGTGAAATCCAAGAGCTATATGTGGAATAATCATTTTAACAAATTCAACATTTTGTTTGTGTGGATTCATTAATGTCACCTTAAGGCAAGACTGTTTTTTTTTCTCTATGCACTGTTAAATTTGGAAATGTTGGGCTATTTGGCTTTTCATAACATGTTGTTTCAAACTAGTGGAAAGAAAACATCCAAAATAGGCTTTTATTGCACTTTATCTATTTGCATCTGTAGAGTTCAATTACAGACACATTTTCTCAAAATGAGTTGTTTCTCCAGCACTGAGCCACAAATACAGCACACTACAGTTTTATTCTACATATATTCCCAAGGTTTTAAAGAGAGGCGTGTTCATGTCATTGGCCTGATGTTATACAATGTTATTTTATTCCTAAAAACAGTGGAACAGTGGAAATCTGAAAATCTGGCTTTCTGATTCACGCAGTGATAAAAAGATGTTTCCTAAATAAATAAATAAAACTTGACCCTAATATGTCAACAAAATCAAACCATCATTTTGAACCTGGCTTCATGCAATGATCCTGTTATGGAAGTGTATGCAAATTAGTGCACATTTGCATAGAAACCCCTCTGTTTGCATATTTAAACACTTCAGAAAACTTGCAATTACAATTTTTTTTTAAATATTATCAATCAAATAAGGTGATATGTATTACTTATTTATTTACCCTATATTCACCAGGGGTGTCTTGCCTCATATTAATCATAGGTTTTGAAAAATAATATGGTTATTATAATAATTCCTGTATAAATATAGGAAAGAAAGAAAGAAAGCAGCTGTATAAGTCATATTAATTGATTGTGATATACAGTAGTAACACGTGCTGTAGTAACTATTGTAGATAGTTGGAAACTATGGTTACCATGGTAACTATTTTCTAAGGCATATACTTTTTAAGGAAGGATTTAGGTTTTTGCCACATTTGTAAATTGTATATTATTATTATATCTATTGGTCCTGTCTGTGAATTTGAGCAGCATCAAATAATACAATAGTTAAATAATTTGTTCCGTGTATTATACTGATAGCAGGGAAAATATTTATGTTACATTATTCATATGCAGAATGTCCATAGAGACCAGCGAGCCGTAAAGTGTTTCGGGCTGTCGTGAAATGTGGTAAACGGCTGTGTGTCAGACTCAGAACACGGAAGTTGAAACCGTGCCGGTGTGTGTGTGTGTGTGTGTGTGCGTGTGTGTGTGCGTGTGTG